CTTCCTGGTGGAACTGTCCAGAGTGCTGGCAAATCCCGGGAACAGCCAAGTGGCTCGAGTGGCAGCGGGGCTGCAGATCAAGAATTCCCTGACTTCCAAGGATCCCGACATCAAGGCCCAGTACCAGCAGAGATGGTTGGCCATCGACGCCAACGCCCGCAGGGAGGTCAAGAACTACGTGAGTGTTGAGGTTTTGGGGGGGTTCTCCAACCCTGGAATGTCTTTTCCATCCTTTTTTCCACCTGCAAAGTCTCCCCTTGGAGCAGCAGCAGCTTCACTTGTGGTGCTTCTTGTGGGATGTTTATTCCATACAAGTATTGGGGGGAAATCGGGACGAGGCTCTTTCTCCAGAGGGTGGTTGGGCGCTGGAATTCCCTGGGAATGTCACGTCCCAAACCTACCAGAGCTCAGGAATTGTTTGGACCACACTCTCAGGGACAAGGGGGGGATTTTGGGGTTGCACTGGGTGATCCTTGGGGGTCCCCTCCGGCTCAGGATATTCCGGGATTCTGAGAGGAAAAAGGGTGATGGTTTTAAAGTGCAGAATTGGTTTGGATGAGACAGAAGGAAGTTTTTCCAATGAAGGTGTTAAAACACTGGCACAGGTTGCCCAGAGAAGCTGTGGCTGCCCCTGGATCCCTGGAAGTGTCCAAGGCCAGGTTGGAGCACCCTGGGACAGTGCAAGGTGTCCCTGCCCATGGCAGGGGGTGGCACTGGGTGAATTTTAAGGTCCCTTCCCACCCAAACCATTCCATGATTCCATGGATCCTCCCCCACTGGACCTCTTTGCTTTGATTTTTTCAGAAGAAAACCCCCCTCAGGGAAGGTTTTTCCTCCTTTTCTAAGGAGCAGCTTCCTCAGGTGTTTTACAATCCCTGGGCCTGACCACAGAGGCCTGAGAAGTTAAAAATCGAGTTTTAAGAGTAGAATATGGTAAAAAAATTGCAAGTCCCAAATAGAAAATTAGATGCTTAAGTTTTGAGAGTTTGCCTGAGGACCCCTGAGCTCTCTGATGGTTAAAGTTTGGGGGCTTTGCAGTGGCACAAGTGGTGGTTTTTTGGCTGATGGGAGGAAAATGATGCCTGGATATGAGCAATGGGATCCCTCTGCTTTTCTAAAAAAGAGTTATGGAAGAATACCCAAAAAAAATCATTCTAATAGCAATTATTTGTCTGAATGGTTCTGTAGATTATTTTGGCATGAAAAATAATTGGTGTTTGGGCAGGGATTTCACCCCCAATTTCTGTTTTGTTAATTTGCTCTACTATAATTTTAGCAATAATAATAACAACAGCAACAACAATAATTTTTCTTTATAATTTTAACTAATAATAATAATAATTTTGCTTTGTCTTGATAATTTTAACTAATAATAACAATTTTGCTTTGTCTTGATAATTTTAACTAATAATAACAATTTTGCTTTGTCTTTATAATTTTAACTAATACAAATAATAATTTTGCTTTGTCTTGATAATTTTAACTAATAATAATAATAATTTTGCTTTGTTTTTATAATTTTAACTAATAATAACAATGATTTTGCTTTTAACTAATTATAATAATTTTGCTTTGTCTTTAGGATTTTAAGCAATAATAATTTTGCTTTATCTTTATAATTTTAAATAATAATAATAATAGTTTTACTTTGTCTTTATAATTTTAACTAATAACAATAATTTTGCTTTGTAGTGATTTTTAAATGATGATTTGATAGTGATATTAATAATTTTTACTTTATAATAATTTCTCTTCCTGAGTGGGAATGGATTGTTTGAGCCCTTTCCATGTTGTGGCACTTGAACCGTTCCCAGAGTTAAAGGATGTGTTGGAATCACAACTGGATCCCACTTCCCATTGGGAATGTTCCCCTCCAGCCTCGTTTCCCCGTTTGAAATGGGAAGCAGAACAAGCCAACTGCTCTGCTGGGAAGGATTTGGGACGGGCAGGGATTCCCTGTGCCTGCCCTAAACCCTCCCCTGCCCCATTCCAGGTGCTCCAGACCCTGGGAACGGAGACGTACCGGCCCAGCTCCGCTTCCCAGTGCGTGGCCGGAATCGCCTGCGCCGAAATCCCCATGAACCAGTGGCCAGAGCTCATCCCCCAACTGGTGGCCAACGTCACCAACCAGCACAGCACGGAGCACATGAAAGAGTCCACGCTGGAGGCCATCGGCTACATCTGCCAGGACATCGTGAGTGGGGCTGCCAGAGGGGATTCCCGGCGGGATTCTGCTCCCAGGGGCTCCCCAGAACCTCTCATCTTCCTCTCTCCCTCCTGTGGTTGGGTTTGAAGCTGTGTCAGGGGGGATTCGGGCTGGATTTTGGGAAAGCTTCTTCCCCTGGAGGTTGAAGGACACCAGAACTCCACCAGCCCCAATCCTGTCAGAGCTCCAGGAGGTGCTGG